GGGGGGGTGTCTGTGCCTGTCTGAGGTGTGGGGTTTATTGAAGTGTGTGTGCGTGTCCCCTGGCGGAGCCGGGGTGCTCCTGTGCGACATGCCGCTCCTTCCATGATGTCTGGGCGAAGCGATGCAGCACAATGCAGTGCTCTGACCCCCTTCATGCTGTGCTCTCCGGCTACATCTCGCAGGAATCCTGATCTCCCTTGTGCACTAAGCAAAAAACCCCACTCCACCGGCTGGGTTGCCTGGGGTTTGGGTTTTTAATGCCCTCTTCCCATAATTTTTTTTCCCTGTCATCATTGTCAGCTTTTAGGGGGCATCTTTTTTCTTTGGAGGTTGTTCCCGGGGGGGGCTGTGTGTGAGGAAGAGGCAGATGGCAATTTTGCATCGAGATGTTGGGTGGGTTTGCTGGCTTTCTGTTTTCTGTTTTTTTTTAATTTGCTTGCTGCCTGTCTGTAATGGGGGGTGGGGGGGTGGGGAGCTGTATGATTGCAGTTCTGCAGCTCTAATGCAGTCAGATGGAGTCCAGCCTGCGGCTGTGGAGCATTAATCTGATACTACAAAAGTAGCAGCATTAGGGAGGGGTTGCAGGAAGAGTGTTATTGTAAAGGAGAGGAAGGAGTGCACCTTTAGACTGACTGGGGCAAATGTGTGCAGATGCTGCATGCACCACTGAAACCCAGACTTATGCATCAGCTGGGTGCGTTCAGGCTGGCGGGTGTTACGTGCCCTTTCGCATTGTGAAGGCGAAGGTATTGGTTTTTTCCTCCTGCCTTTAAGGTACAGTAAACCTCAGCAGTCTTTATACCCATTTTCCAATAACAGTAACTGATTTGGGAGTGGAGATTTTCTGCTTTTTTGCTTTCAGAAGCACTTTATTAAGTCTACTGTTATTGGGTTCCCCCCAGTTAAATGTGTCATTGTCTTTCAGATGTATTACCGAATGCAGTTTTCTATATTTAGATGTGAAACATTGGTTGTTTGAAGAATTACATCCCTGCCTTTTATTTTTTAAATGAATACCATGTTAAATTCCAAAATAATAATCATTGGAGGAGTTGGTTGATTTTTTTTTTTTTAATTTTTTGTTTAATGGATGGAAAGTGTTTATGGCTGTGAAATGATGATATTGAATATTCAATTGAACGGACATCATAAATGGACTTGGCTTCATTATCTTTTCCACAGAGATGTTGTAGTTAGATGTGGGTAGGCCTGCTTTAATACCAAAAAAAATGGCAGACTTATGCCCAATATTGCAAGACTGCAGTATCGCTGAAAAATCCATCTTCCATAGCACTGAAGCCTGACTTCTTTAGTTAAGACGACCTGCTGTTTGTCAGAAATCTTTGATTTTTTTTTTTTGAAATGCATAAAATATTAATCTGTTGGATGCCTGCCATGCATGCGAAAGCAGAATCAGCAATTGAATATAGTGTGAATACCATTTCAGTCTGCTAGTTGTGAGGAAATTTGCACATGTACAGTGAAGAGGGAGGGAAGAGGTCTTTCTTTATAGATAATGTCTAGACATAATCAAAACTATTGTCCATAGAAATATGTTTTTAATTATCAGTACTGAAAGAATATCCTTTAATTTAAAATAACCCTAAATAGTCTAGGTTTATAAAATTGTTTGAAGCATTAAATGCAACATTTATGATCTGTTAGGACTGGGGATGTTGAAAAGTCTTTTTACATAGCTAGGTGATTATTTTTCAAAATTATTTTTGACCTTTAGATGTATTCATTCATAAAGGCATCTTGGGGGATAGTATTTCCATAGCTTTAAAGATTAAGGCAGTTTGCATTCATTACCTTATTTAAAGAAAGATCAATGTAGAAGTGTTGCAAGGAATTGTGACTCATCAGGCAGGTGCGAAAACCTGATTGGCAGAAGATTTTGCATGTATCACGAAGGTTCAGATACAAGCTTACGATGGTATTGTTGATCAGGAGAAATAGGTGATGAAGGAGTTAGTTACTGTTACTAAACTCTATTCTGCTGTTTAACAACCTCATCAGCCAGCTTTTCTGGATAAAATATGTAAAAAATGGTTATCGAGATGCTGACATAACATGGCAACAACAGTTGATGGTACTTAGCTGGCTGGTAACGTGTCACAACCAGTATTGGGAAGACGCTAAATAAAATTGATAGAACCAAGTATTTTTGTAATAGTAAGTGGCATGGTTTATTCCTTTGATAATATGAACTTGGTACTGGAAATAGAATTGGGTCAAGCACTAGCATTTATGTGCTTTTAATACATCATCGGTGAAGTAATTTGTCTATGGTAAAGAAAGATGCAACAATTCTGGACACAAGAAGAACATGCAGTATTCATCTAACAACAAGCATCATAGATGCTGTTTCATCTGTAATGGGGGATGAATCCTGCAACCCTTGGGATTACTGTAATGGGGGATTACTGAAGACTACCTGCTTGCAAGAATGGCACACAGAGGCGGTGAGACATTCATACCACACCTGTAGGCAGCCCAGAGCATTGCTGCATGAGCAGATTTCAGGCACATGTCCCTTTGTGTTGGACATATAGCTTCAAAAGAAATGGGATGAAAGATTTTTTTCCTTCTGCACCTGAGTTTGGAACTCTTAAAACCATTTTTTTATCGGAGTGCCTCATGATATATGAGTTGCATTGCATAGGGGACATATTTGTTATCACGTATGTGATATTTGTGATATATTTACAATAAAATTTGTAATTCGCTTGTGAGGAAACGCCCACTATAACCACCTGTATGAAAGGGAATGTAGACAAGACTTTATATTTATTGCTACACTTCAGGGTCTCACTTTTAGCAGTTTTTAGTTGCCTAACTGCCCAATGCCTCTTTAAATACTTTTTAAAGATTTAGCCGTAAGTGTTTGCCTGGAGCCCTAGGTATTAGGCATGACCTTAAATTCTGTTCAGAAGTTGGTATATGTCTCAGTGGTCATGCATCATCTCTTAAATCTAAATCCCAGAGAATCTCTGACCAACCATCAGTTCTCTACTCTGAATTTATGAAGGCCTTTACAAATAGATGTAGTTTTAGGCTAAGAGATCTGGCCACTCTTGGACCAGTGTGAGGAGCTACTGACAAGGTCTTACACCTCAGCTACTCTTAGACTGTAGAAATGTTGAGTAATACACATCATCACAATGGCTGCAGTATTTCCTGGCAACCTTTTAGGGTTTGATATACAGCATTCAGTGAGAATTTTCAATGACAGCTGAACTGTGCTCTGTTAGTACTTGTAATTTAAAAAATGCACAGGGTTTTCTAAAGCTGAAACCTACCCCAGTGACCTGCTCTTATTTCTGGACTTGTATGCTAGACCTGTGCCCAGTCTGTCTAGAACTGACTTCCACAGTCAAACCAGGAACCAGGGTGGCTCAGTGATGATAAAGATCACAACAGACTCATTCCTTTCTCCTGTTTGTATTGTGGGTTTACATCTTCACCTCAAAAATCTCATTGTGGTTAACTGTAATCCCTGCCAATACTCAGTGCTTGCGTGGTAACAAGAGTGCTAGTGGGGCCAGTGTATAATATATACAGGTATAATGAACTTTCTGCAGATGTGTTGTATGCTTTATTTTGTGTCTTTTCTTTCACATATGGTTTTCATTTTTCAGATTGTATTATTACTCTTAAAATGATCTGTTTGAATTTTGTTTTTCTAATGAGCATGAGTATTGTGTAGCAACAGTTGCAGCTAGACATATCAAAGATTTACTTTTTCTTTAATAACAGGTGGTTATTGCACATGAGAAACTTTTAGCGCTGGCTAGTTTTATCCCATCTCATATATGTAATTACCATTACTCTTAAACCAGTTCTGCCTATTTAAGCATGCAGCTGTTTAAAAACATTTTTAGCTTCTTCATTTTTCAGTTTATTGTTTAATTAAAACATCAGTTTTTACTTTCCTTTCCCTTTATAAAAAGCCTGGTTTGTCTGTAGGAAATCCTACAGTTGAGTTCATAGGGAACTTTTCAAGTTTCTTTATGGCTTGCTAGAGAAAGATGGATTTTCTAATTTGTTTTTTATTGTGCGAAAGAGCATGGTTTCTGTGTAGTTTTTAATATAAGTTCCAGTAAAAAGATTTCATTCTTCTGTAATCTTGCTTTCAGGGCTGGTGTATGCTTTTTCTGTGCCCAAGGACAGATTAAGGTTGACGAGCAACTTCAACTGAGTTTTTAGCACCATTAACATTTCTTTTTTTTTTTTTTTTTTTAACTCCCTTGTTAGTAGTTTTTGTTGGCCTGAAACTACATCATAAGTTTAGATGCTTTTGGTTGGATAGATCTTTTGCTTTTCTTTTATGATTTTCTTATATTCTCCACCATTTTAGGTTTTCATCAAACTGCATCATTTTCTGTTGCACAGAGGAATTCCTTTGAATTGTCACAACTACTGCAAGAGAAATTAATTATGTTGCCATTCCATGATCTCTTTAAATATGCAAACAATAGGACTTCAGTTAAAAAAAATAAAAGCTACATTAGTTTAACTTGTTCATCAGCCTTATTTCACCAGGAAAGTGGCATAAACTGAACAAAAGGGCCACTCAGTTTGAAAACCAAATGTCAACAAATGTTAATTCACACCTGTCAGCTACTAGCAATAGACTAGAAGATCATTCCAGTCATGTAATTGAAACAGAAGAGGTGTGCCATTTAATCCACTGTTTAGAGACATAAAAATGCATTGCAGTGAACCTGTTGAGAGGTAAATATTTCAAATTAAGTGGAATTTCTGTTTGTTAGGGCCCTGATAGATTTTTACTCTGGACAATTCTTTCTCTGATGAAAGAGGCTGGATGTGTAAGGTTCATTGTGCAAGATCTTGGAGTTGTACTAGTTTACATGTGCTGAGCAACTGGACTTATGCAGCCAGTAAAATCGATATTTAATTTGATGGAGATCTCAAGACTGATATTGTGGAATTTGATCTCCTGTTCTGCAACACACAGCACAGAGGACTGGGGAAGAAATATCTCTTCTCTTAAGATTGATGTGATGATAAAAGAATGAAGTCTGAAAGAGAAGATGCTATCCTGTGTCAATGAAAGGAGCTGATGCTTCACTTCTAGTAGGGGAGAAGACTAATAAAGAAATATTATTAAAGTAAAAATGACTATGACTTGATTCCATTGTCATACATATCTGTGTTATCACGTTTACTCTAATATAAGATGACCCCCCCGTCCCAATAATTAGTTTCTGTATATGGAAAATTATAAATTTGATATAATTTTCCAGGTATAGAATCTAATTATTGGAGGTTTGCCTTGAATTTTCCCCCTCCCACTGCTACAGCAGGAAAAATTAAATCTGGGGGCCAGGTCGCCCCTTTGCACTCTGCCCCACACAACTTCTTCCCACTGTAGCTTCTTCATCGCCTTTCCCCCCTCTTACTGTCAGACTCTGCTCTCGCTAAGCACATGGAAGTAAGGAGCACATCTGAAAAAAACGCATGTTGAAATGAACATAACTGTAGTAATTTGCATTTCGTACGTATAGATTTAGTTCACCCAGAATTAATGCCTGTCACCTTTTTTGAAACTGTTACAAGTTATAGCACAGATATTCCATAAATAGACTTTTAACTGGCCCTTTGGCACCTACTTATACATAGCAAAACATTTCTTAAAAAAAAAAAATGTGTGTTCCAAGCCAAGTCAAGTCCAAATCCATGAGTCAGTCCAGAACCATAAGTGGCCCTACAACTTCTACCCCCGCCAGGAGGGTACTACTGATATTTTC